GGGGGAGGAGGCAGGGGAAGGAGACAGGGGGAGGAGACAGCCACAGCCGATTCCCTGAGGAAGAAAGTGTGTGTGTGAGTCCTCCTCAGGGGTGGGTGGCGGCTCCCGGAATTCCCACGTGGAAGCCCTGACTGCCAGCAGGCTCCCCTATTTGAAATGGGTCTTTGCAAAGACTGAGCAACATGAGGCCATCAGCAGGGCCTGATCCGAGAGGATGGGGACTGTACGGACGGAAACGCACAGTCGAGGCAGAGGCCTGCGGGGAAACGGCCACAGGAGCTGGGGGGCAAAGACGGGCAGACCCTCCCTCCCGGCTCCACGAGGACCACCTGCCCCCCAGGCCCCAAGTCACGGCCCTCAGACACAGACACCCTGCCCCGGCCAGTGGCTCACCTCATGTAGGACGTGGGGGACAGGGGCTTGGGCTTTGCCCACTGGTATGGGTGCTGCGGCACCGCCAGGTACTGGTCGCAGAAGCCGCCCTTCCTGACGTGTTGGAAAGAGAAGTCTTCGGGCGTGAAGTCGGCCGGGGGTGGGGGGCTGCCCAGGTCCTCCCCGACGGGCTCCACCTTGAGTGCCACTGAGGGCGGCTGCTCCAGGGTGGTCTTGCGGGACTTGACGGGGACGCCGTCACCCAGGTCCAGGCTGCTGTCGGTGGTCAGCGCGTTGATGGCAGCCACGATGGCCGAGCTGGTGTACTGGGTGCTGTTGCCCAGCCACGAGTCGTCGGTCACGCTGACCCGCGGGGAGCCGTGCGGGGACGGTGTGGGTGAGCGGTGGGGCGAGCACGGCGGCTGCCGGCCGTTGAGGCTGTACTTCCGCTTGTTGCCGGGTGATGCGGGCCTGGAGGAGCGGGCGCCCAGCCAGCTCTCCTCGGTGACGCTGGCACGCGGGGAGGTGGAGGGCGAGTGCCGCGGGGAGCCCAGCAGCATGCAGGCCCCCAGCCCGCGGGGGAAGCCCTCCTCGGCGTCCGTGGTCTTGGGGGACACGCAGGGTGACTGCCACGGCGATGTCTGGGGTGACACGTACGGGTAGGAGTAGTTGGACTCGTAGGAGGAGGCCTCGGAGTTGCAGCTGCGGGAGGACAGGCTGCTGGCCGGGCTCAGGCACGACGGGTCCCTGTAGGCCTCCAGGCCGGGCAGGCTCAGCGTGGCCGTGGACGGGGAGCGCTTGGAGCTGGGGAGGACGTCTTCCACATCCGCGTCGTGGAGAAACTGGCTGTTGCTGTGGTGTAGACCCAGGTACGAGGTGATCTCGATGCGCGGGCTCTCCAGGGCGGGGGCCCCGTTCGGCCTGACGTGGCTGGACGACAGGAAGTAGCCCGCGGGCCCGCCGTCCAGAGCCGCCCCGTACCCCGCGGGGTGCTCTGCCGGCAGGACGAGGCCCGGGGTGGAGGTCTGAAGGTCGTGGCACGGGGCCGGCAGGGAGGAGTGTGTTGTGGGCAGCCGCAGGGCAGGGCCGACGCTGGAGGGCGCGTAGCCATAGTGTTCTAGAGAGAAAAAGAAGCAGATGCTGGCATGAGGGGCTGGGCATCGCAAAGCAGAAACCCATGGACTCAGGGCCGCTCAGCAGCCCCAGGCCTCAGCCAACGGCCAGGGAGCCTCGGCCCTGGCAAACGTCCCTGAGACCCCACTGCCTGACGGCTCCAGGCGAGTCCAAGTGACAGCCCCTGTCCCACCCGGCCAACAAGTCCCCATGAGCCCTCGCTGCTCACCCCGACCCCCCACAGCAGCAGAGCCTCCGAATGTTCCTCCCAGAGAGACAGACACGGCCGGGTCCTCATGGGGCGTCGCTCTCCACTCCGAAACCAGCCTCTCCATGTAACACCCAACTCAACACCGGGCAGCCCTCCAGCTGACGTTTTCTCTGACGTGTGTCACAATCTCACGTTTTCACCCGTTCACCTCACACTCTTGACAACAGAAACCTCAGTTCCATGGGGCAGAGCATTTGGACTGCCTACTCTACTCCAGCTCACCGCTGGCTTTAGAGCCAAAGACTGTGCCTGGCACATCCTAAAATGTGTTCCTTTTGTTTAACGGATGGATGCTTGCTGGGTGGTGGACGACGGAAGGTGGACGGACAGGTAAAGAAGGATGGATAATGATGGATGCGGGGCAAAGGGTCGATGGAGGTGGATGGATGAACGGTGATGGATGAACAAGGGAGGAATGAGGGGTGAACAGATGGATTGTGGATGGGTGGATGGGTGGGTGGGTGGATGGGTGGATGGATGGAGGCATAATAAATGGTGGATGAATGAACAAATGGATGGATGATGATGGATGGACGGACAGATGGGTGGATGGATGGATGGGGAATGGAGGAATAATGGATGGATGGATGGGTAGATGGATGAAGGATGGATAGTGGGAGGGTGGGTGATGGATGGATGATGCTGGATCACGGATGGAGATGGATAGGGGAGGGAGGGCTGACAGATGGGTGATGGATGGATGGATAATGAATAGAGAATGATGGATGATGGATGGATGATGAATGAATAAGATGATGGATGGGGATAGAGGGATGATGAACAGAGGTAAAGGAATGATGGATGGTTTTATGATGGGTAGATGGATGGATGGATGTGTGGATGGATGGAGAGAAGGATGTGTTTTAGATCCAAGGACCTAGATACGTAAAGAAATTTTAATAGGCTTGTTCCTGTCAAGGTGCCCTAATCACCAGCTACATAGAAAACATCTCAAGGATTGGATGAAAACACAGACTCTGAAATCCTTCTCATGGAGATTCTGATACTGTCTCACGGCCTAGGAATCCATCTTTTAAAACAAAACAGAAGATTCCAGTATGCAGCTAGATCTAAGAATTATTATGTGTTAATTACGCTCAATAAAATATTTTTTAAAATCATTATGCGAGAAGTTAGTAATTTTAACAGGAAAGACGTGCTTCTGGATTTCTGATTGGAAACGACCTTTTATAACACCTCGGGGCCTTACGATTACACGCCTAGAGATGAGTATTCCCAGGCCTCTAAATAATACAAAGAAGTGCATGGAAATTCTATATCCATCTCCTGGTGTAAGTACACTGGCTTGAAGATATTTTATTCAAGGACACTGCTGCCTTTCCGCTAAGCCATGGTTCAGAAACCAACAAGGATAAACGCGACAAAAACCTGGGGTCTCAAAACAGCAACTCAAACACCAGAGTACTTACTAACAGGTGTCCCTGCAGCACCCAGGTCGGTGGGGAACACGGCACGCAGCCTGGAAGAGGACACAACATGGCCTCGGCCCCAGGGTCACAGCTGCCTTCTGAAAATTCCAGACACTCGGGGGGCAGAGCCGTGACAAAGAGAAGGAAGCTGCGACGGCCACACCGCACAGGTGCGCGCAGAAGCCCTCGGGGTGCCAGGCGAGCCCTGCTCAGGACGTCTGTGTACAGGGAGGGCCCTTAGCCGAGACTCAGCGCCTTGGGGATGGTGCTGCCCAGGCCAAGTCCCGCCCTCCCCATCATAAAGAAACTCCCTCAAGGAGACAGGAGCCGTACAGTCTCCTCTGGCAGGAATAGTCAATCAAGGAAGTGGCCAGGCGCGGTGGCTCATGCCTACAATCCCAGAACTTTGGGAGGCCGAGGCAGGCGGATCACCTGAGGTCGGGTGTTTGAGACCAGCCTGGGCAACAGGGTGAAATCTCGTCTCTACAAAAAGTACCAAAAGTTAGCCGGGCGTGGTGGCAGGTGCCTGCAGTGCCAGCTACTCTGGAGGCTGAGGCAGCAGGATCGCTTGAGCCTGGGAGGTGGAGGTTGCAGTGAGCTGAGATCGCGCCATTGCACTCCACTCTGGGCGATACAGGAAGACCCTGTCTCAAAAATCAATACATGAATAAATAAATAAATTTAGGAGGCCTTTCTTTCCCCAGAGCCACTGGTGGGGACGGGGGCTGGAGCTGCAGCCAGGTGTCCTGACACCAAGGCCAGCATCCAGCCGGGCCTCTGGTAAGGACACACACAGCTTCCCCGAGGTGTTCCCCAGCCTGAGATGCCTGCTCTGGGGATGACGCCCCCACGTCCGCGGCGTCCATCATGTCCCCAGGCTCCACACTCACAGGACACTTCAGGCCAAATGCTAGGATCCAACGCTAAAACTCAGATGACTGTCCCTGTAAAAATGAGCCTGGAAAGTGGCTTCCTGGAGAAGGTGAGGCTTCCGAGGAAGCTCCAAGGCCTCGGACCTGCTGCTGACCCCTGAGGGGCTCCAGTCAGGCAAGCTGCAGTCCTCTGAGAGCTCTGCTGGGCGTCACGGTGGCTCCTCTGTGTCCTGTGCAAACCCTGAGCCAGCTGCATCAGATCCACTGGACAAGGCCACATGGCAGGTCCTCCTGTGCCTGGCGCCCCCCACATCTGAGTGCCCGTGCAGGCCAGTCCTGCCATCAGCCCAGTGCCCAGCGCTGCGGGAGGCCCGCAGAGCCATGGGTGGCCCCGCAGCTAGGTGTGGGTAACCCCCATATAGGCACTGAGGAGTGAGAGCTAAGCAGAACCCTCAGGCCTACACTAGGGTCTCCTGGGAAGCGCAGGGATACAGCCAGACGGAGGCAGGCGGGGTAGGGACCCGCAAGGGGCTTTTGCCAAGCGCAGGCCTATGGCTCCTGGGGTTCCAGACCGGCACCACACAGCCACCTGTTTGCTACTCTGCATTCTCACCGAACATTGTCTGAAAGCCATACTTTAGCCAAAAATGCTTCCTTCCAGCTGCCCACGTTACAGACACACTTAGTGCTGGCCCCGCTAACATGTCTAGAAGCCCCTTCTCCTGATGGAGCAGAAACATCACATTGCATTGGGAACCAGTCATCAACTCCAGGAGAGCCAACAGCACAACCCGTGAGCTGAGGGACACCCGGGCGGTGGGTCCCACCTCGGGGCCCAGCCTGGCTCCCATGGCCTGACTTCCTCCCGGAGGCGTCCGTGGCCTCCCGCCGTCTCTCCAGGCCCACCTGCTCAACATACTTCCCCTCACTGTCCAGACCTCGAAGCAGGCTTAACTGCAGGTGATGACTGTCCAGATGCCTACACTTCCTGTTCCCAATAAAAAGAATATTTATTTCGAAGACATAGCTGATCCCACAGTTGAACTACCGTGTGCTAAGAGGAAGGTAATTCTGAAGCACTGTTTAAACCCCTAGCAATGCACGGAGCAAGTCTTGGGGCCTCCCCGCACCCTCCCACCGGACTCAGCCCTGAACTGGGCTCCCGGCAGTGACGAAGCCCAGAGCTGGGCCCCATGGGGTACTACAGCCAATTACTGGAAGGTTCTAGATGAAACGGGCAAGGAAGGAGAGGCGGGCCTGACGGGTCTGTGTGTGCAGCCTCTGGGGCTGTGGGAGAAGGCCTGGACTGTGCGTGGCGACCGGCATGAGGGGAAGTGAGGAAGAGGAGGAGACTCCTGCAGCCAGAGCAGGAAGTGCAAGCCGCCAGCTCAGATGCCCGGGGCACCAGGGGGCCTTTACTGAGACTAAAGCATTGCAATAAAACCGGATTCAATGAAGCAGAGAAACACCATAAAGCCTTTATTGAAAAATGAAAAGGGCTCATCTAAGCACGAGTTTCCCCTAATTAAACAAATGACGAAAAGAAACCTCAAATGCCTGAATTCCATGGGGCTCCCTTGCCCCGGCCCCTGGAGGACTGGCCGTGGGTAGCTACCTCTCCTTCCTACAACGGGATAAGGTGGGGGTCAAGCTGCCCCCAGAGGCCGAGCCCACGCACTGGGCCCATGGCTGTGAGCCCCTCTCCCTCCCTGCCCCTCCCAGCTCCCAATGAATTTGGTTTTATGACCCACCTAAACCGTATTCAAATCTGAGTTATTTAACTATTCAAAGGGATCACATTTACACGGAAAGAAAATATTCCCAGTAACTTTCTTGACGATTCTGGCTTGGGCTGATTTGCGTCACGCCAGACGGTGGCTACAGAGCTCAGCGTCTGCACTCCCTGGTTGCTGGTGCCCAAGAGCCTGGTTCATTAAACTACAAACTACGGTGCAGGTGAGCAGGAGACAGAGCTGGATTCGAGACCACCCTCACGGAGGGCACATTCGAAATCCTTAACAGAGGGCAACAGCGCGGCCCCTCCAACATCGGCGCTGGCTCCCCACTTCCGAGTCCCCTGATCCTCACCGGCTCGCTCCGCCATCGGCAACCCCGACACACAGGTGGTTTCAGGCTGCTAGGACGGAGGCCCAAGCGGGGAGCAGGAGAAGCCCTGGGCCAGCCCAGGTGCACAAGTTCCATGCGTCAGAGCTGGCAGAAGCGCTCTGCCTCACTCTGAGAAACAACTCACTTCAGAACCACACATCACTGTCATTTCTGAACAACCACAAAAAAACCGTATTGGGTCAACAAATTAATCCATGAAGTACCACGCTCAGGTCTCCCTACAGGGGGCAGAATTCTAACCTTGCAGACCCGCCCCGCTGGGGCTGGCACCTGCCCCTCACACCGCCACACGCTGCCCAGACAG